TCAGGCAATCAAGCAACAGCAGCAGAGCATGCAGAGGAATGAGGATCCCTTTAGACGCCGATACGCCGGAGGCAGCCGACTGACCACTGTCAGTCGAGACGTCCGCTGCCGCCACAAAGCGGGCGGCCGCGGACGGAGAAAGGGCAGCCGCCGACAAGGAGCCGGCGTTGCCCGGGGAGGGAGGCTGGACACAGGAACACGGTACCGCTCGAGGTAGTCCTCCTCGCTAGCCTCCGAGTGCTGTTTCTTTTCGGGCTTGTGTCCTTCTGCCAGTAAATCCTATGTCAAATCAAAAAAAAAAAAAAAAATGAGGGGGTAGTAGCTCGAGACTCGCATCGGAGAGTGGCTCAGGTCTCGCTCAGGAAAATGAGCGAAGATGGTAGACTGCAAGACCCTATCCTGCGACTTGAGCGAGTGTGTCCTGCGGCTGTGCGAGGTGAGGATATCACGCTGCTGATCGGTCAGCGCAGCGCGAGCATGCACATGGCGAGGGAAGACGCGCATGACAAGAGGGGTCACTGTATAGGATTTACTGGCAGAAGGTAAAAAGTGCCTCAAGCAAAACAAAGCAGGAACAAGCTGAACCGGCAGGCACACAGTCCACAGCGAGAAGCTGCACAAACACACACAAAACACAAGCCCGAAAAGAACCAGCACTGCTGGCACCCAGACGCGGCATCGCCAGCCCAAGCGCGAAGCCGCGCAGACAAGCAGCCTAAGGGTCAGGCAATCGTCGGCGCCACTCGACGTGTTTCCCCCATCGGAGTCGGAGACCTCCGGCGAAGACTCCCCCTCGGGCGACTCGACAAAGTCCGAGGAGGAGCTGTCCTCTGGCTCGAGAAGTGCTTGCGCCCGCAAGGGCGTCATGCGCCTCGCACCAGACAAGAGCGCCTCCAGCGTCAGCTCTGTAGTGAGGCGCTGATAGGTGGCGGCGCGTTTGCGAGCCAGGACCTCAGCAGCAGGGCCGTCATCAGGCACAAAGTGCCGACCATACGCCGCATCCTCAAGAGGCATCGAGCGCTGAGCAATGATGTACGGTCCGCCAAATACCAGATGAAGCGGAGGGTGTCAGGATGCAGGGTACCGTCCGTCGAGATGGCAAGAGGGATGAACGCTCGAGGAGGAGTAGTCATAGCATATGCAGCGCGATGTTTGCGAATCTTCTCAGACGCTGCAACATGGAGGGCGTCGAGGTTGACCTCCCCCCACTTGGTCAGGTCGGCAGAGCTGCCAATGTAAGGGGTAATAGTGGATTTACTGGCAGAAGGTAAAAAGTGCCTCAAGCAAAACAAAGCAGGAACAAGCTAAACCTCCAGGCACACAGCGCACAGCGAGAAGCTGCACAATCACACACAAAACACAAGCCCGAAAAGAACCAGCACTGCTGGCACCCAGACGCGGCACCGCCAGCCCAAGCGCGAAGCCGCGCAGACATCGGTATGTGGTAGGGTTAATCGTATCTACCACCTCAG